TCTCTCTCTCTCTCTCTCTCTCTCGATACCCAGGGCTGGCCCACTGCCTTATGTGTGCTAGACACTCAAATACATACTGACGGGATCTCCTGCTGCCTCACGGAGCTTGGGTCACAAGTGTCACCATTACCTACCTGGCCTCAGCTTCTGTCTTCATGTCCTTTAATATACCATTACCTTCCAGTCCCTAAAATCTTCTGAAAGGTTTTGAAAAAAAAAAAAAAGCACAAAGCAAAAACGCTTCCTTAACCTTTCTTTACCTTTGAGAAAAGTTGTCTCCTCCTTCTCCTTGGCTGCTATCTTCAGAGGGCGGTCTGTCCTAGCTCCAGGCACCTCTCCAGGGCGTCCCTCCCCGCACCTGGGCAGCCGGTTCTGCGGCTGTGCAAGCAGCCCTCGAAAGGCCAGACTCAGCTACCATTCTTCTCCTAAGGGACTTTGCTGGCCTTTGACCCCAGCGACCACTCCCAGCCCTCTGCTCTCTTCCTTGACGCCTCAGGCACATCCCTCGTGGTTCTCTGCCAGGTCATGTTGCATCTCAGGCTCCTTGGGCATTTTGCCTCTCCCTTTTCCCCAAATGTTAAATGCTATTATTCACCATGGTTCCCTCATACAGGATCTTCTCTGTTTTGAGACCTCTCAAATATGGTATTTTTGCCTTGTCCTCATTCCTAAATTACCTGCTCATTTCCATTTTCAGACTGTATTTGCATGACATCCTGCAGGCATTTCAGACTAATTCATCCTGAATTCATTGTCTTTCCCACTCTGATTTCTCCTTGGGAATTCTGCCTCTCAGGAAATCGTTTTGCTTCTGTCCTCTTCTTTACCCTCACCCCCTCATTCACTTGGCACCCAGTCAAGTTCTGCCTCCTCCATCCTTGACTTCTCCCTGCATTCCCCCTGTCCAACCTTGTGACCACTGCATTAGCGCAGGGCCTCTCCTGGAGCCCCACCCGGTGCATTTCAGGCAGCCCTTTAAGGTTGCCTTGCCCCAGCTCTCTCCTCACTGGGGTGCATCGTCCTCACTGCCACCAGAGAGAGCTTCCTGAAATGCTGCCTAGAAATGTGGCTAAGCACCTAAGCTCTGGGATAACATAGTCCTGGCACGAGCTCTGTAACCGTGGGCAAATCACTCCACCTGGAGTGTCGTCTGTAAAAGGGAATCACCTGCCTACCTTCATGGTGCAGTGTAAGTGCTGAACAAGGTAACAGTGCGTGGAGAGCACGCACAGCACTAAAAGCCTGGTGCCTGCCTATGGCGAGCACTGAGTGATCGGCGGAGACCCTGCCCCTCTTTTTCCAGCCTCTCCTCCTCCTTCTCTAGCATGACAATTTGGCCCCATGTCACCTTTTAGCCTCACCTCCCAGGGCATTCCCACCATGCACTTCATGCCACTGTCACCCGAGTCTACTCACTGTCACTAAATGTCGCTCAGGCTTTGCTCATATTCACTAGGCATCTGCATAAAGCCAAGCTGTACCTTTTCCCTTTGCCACTAGGTAAAATCCTAGCCACTGGGTGAAACATCAGCTCATCTGTGAAGTCCTCTCTGACTTGCCTTCCTGTCACACTCACACAAGAGCTAGCTGTTCTCTAAGCACCAACACCACGCATCCCATTGCTCTAGACCTCGTCTTCCTTGCAGGGTAGAGATGGCATTTGGCTAATCCCTGATGAACAGTGCCTAGCAAAGCATCTTGTGCATAAAATGTGCTCCATAGATGTTTGTTTATTAAACACAAAGTTTGTTAAGCATTTGGGTTTATTTCTTGTGTGGTTAAATTTTTTCTTTTTGAACAGTTGTATTTTAGGACTTGGGACATTCTGAAGAAGAAATCATGGTAAAACCCCACTTGCTGTCTCTGTAATGAGTTGTGGTTCACTGCATATATGTTGTAACAAAGGAGAAAAAGAAACAAAATTGTGCCTAGACTGTCGTCCTCTCTGTTCCAGGAAAGGAACATTAAATTATTTCAAAATCAAAGTTAATGTAGCTTGAAACTAAAACAATGCACTGAAAATGCTTAGATTATTATGTAGTCAGCTTTTCAAACATCATGGTATTGATCTTAATATTCATTAATTTTAAGAAAAATATTTTCAAAGACTAAGGAAATTGGAGCAAGGAAGAGGGTAAAGTTCACCTATGATGCAGTAGAATTCTTGGCAGAGAATAGAATGCTCTCTTCCTGGAACATGCACCAGTTTGTTACCCAGGACCCTATACTCCCACATTTTCCTCAAAGTGCTCTCTTGGACTCTGCGTCTTTCATGAAGCCTTCCTGGTGTACCAGCTATGAATTGTTTAACTGCCACCACCATTCCCTCTCCTCCCCAAGGACCAGCACTGAGTGGTGTAAGGAGCAGAGGTTCCCTAGTCTTCAGGGATAAATCCTGACTGTGCTAATTTCCAGTTATGGGACTGTGGGAAAGTTGTTTCATTTCCCACGGTGTTTCCTCACCTCCGAAGGGGATGCCGATAGTATCTGTCTCATAGATTTGTTGTTAACATTGAACAAGGGAAAACGTAAGTGCTTAGCATATCATTACTTGGGCTTTTCATCCACCTTACTTTTGCAGATAACGTAGTTAATGTGTAAAGGCAAGGGTCATGCCTCTTTTATCTTTGCACCCACCACAGTTCCTGGAACATAGTGAGCATGTGTACGGAAGCAATGAAGTCTCTTTTTGCAAAGGCTCTTCCAAGCTTTGTAGCCAGAGCACTGGCTGCAATCAGTGCTTTAAATTGCAATTTCCTGTGTTGTTTTTTATTTTAATGACTAGAAGTCCTTGTTGAATAATAGAGAACCTCTCACTTCTTGCTTCCTTAATTGTAATTATTGATGTCAGCATCACATAATGCCTGGGCACTTCATGAATTAAAATTCCCATTCTGTCATCAGTGTTGAGAAAATTATACTGGCAATGAATGTTAATTGGAACCTTTGCTGTCAGAAGGTAAATGAACTTCTGGCAAGGTGAGAATGTGGAAACTCAAATTTAGGAAGGGAAGAGGGGTGGGGTAGGAATGAGCAATAGCCAAGGACTCGTTGTAAACCAGACATCGTGCTAGTGCTTCACGTGCATACCTCTGAACTAGCTACCTGTTCTCCTCATTTCATAGATGGGGAAATTAGGTCACTTCCCCAGGGTCACAGTCCAATTAAGAAGAAGAGCTGGGGGTCAGATTCACATTTGTCAGATTTCAAAGCTGCTTCCCTATAACATACTATCCTGGAAGCTAAGGACAGTCATGCTCTTTTGGGAAATCTGAGGTTGACCCAGTATAATAACCCTTCCCTCCAACCTGTGTACAGATATTTTCAAAATGAATATACATGCTGAGAGCCAGTTAGTTACACATGGGTGGTCTGCCTTCGTCATCAATAGTGCACATGCTGGCAGGGAGTCAGTCCGCTATTCTGACGCAGAGGCTATTCTAACTCTGGAAAAAGCCCAGAAAAAAAGAAGGGAAATCCTTTGTTTTTAAAACAGTGTTACAGTATAAAAGATAATAATTAAAATCATAAAACTGGCCCTGAAATACAAAAGACAGGTCCTAGGAAGGAAGTAGAAATGAGTGGCTTACCACAGGGTTTAGTAGGGAGTTTTTTTTCTTCACTGAAAAATTTGCTTTTCTCTTCATTTTGGGATTACCTTGTTGCTAATAAGCAAGAATGTTCAACATACAGTGTTTGCACATTAACTGTTCTCTCATTAATCTTGCATTCTATAGCAATATGATATTACTTTATCCGACCTGAATCAGCCAGTGCTTGTTAGTCTGTTGAAAAGCAAGAGACATGACAACTCGGAGCCTCAGATGGCCCACCTGATACCCGAGCTCTGCTTCCTGACAGGTAATGGTGATTCTTTATACTCCTGAGCACAAGACCCTGATGCTGAGCGGTGGGCAGGACCTCTTTCAGTTAGCTGAAGGCCATAGCACTAATTTAACCCAGGGGAGATGGGCCCTTGAGTCATTTGATTGTACTGAAATGGGAGGATGGAGGCCCTTTGGAAGTTGCTTGGCAAAGTAAAAATTATTTATTTCCCTTATGTATTTCTGTTTGTTACTTTGATGTAAAATAGGCCCCCAGATATTTCCCTAAAGCCAATCTGCTCTTTGCCTGTTTTTGAACTTCACTAGTACAGGAAGCGGTATGACTTTGATTTTCCTTAGGTAGACTGTTTGAGGGGTGCCCAAATGATCTCTATTTTCTTTGGCATGAGCTTCCAGAAAGTAATCCTCACTATACAGTAGAATCCGAGTAACTGCCTCAGGTAGGGTGGGACTAAGAAGGAAGGACTTTCTGTGTTTTACACTTTTGTATTGTGCAGATCAGTTATGGCATGTATGTATGTATTTTGTATTCAGAAAAATGAAGAAGGATATAACCCTTGAGGGGAAGGATGTTCATTCTTAGTGGTCCTCTGATACTCTGGATCTGCCTAGTCCCGTATGGTGGCCACTAGACGCACTTGTTTATTGAGCACTTGAAATGTGACCAGTGTGGCTGAGGATCTGAAGCGAGGTGCTAAGTGTAAAATACAAATTTTACTGGATTTCTGACATAGTACCAGAAAAAGGGAAAATAACTCATTAGTAAATTATTTTATAATGATTACATGTTGATAATATTTTGGGTATATTGAATTAAATACTACTATTTAAATAATTCCATCTGCTGCTTTTTAGTTTTTTAAAGGTAGCTATTAGCAAATTTAAAATGATGTATGTGACTTGTATGTCTATTGGACAGAATGCTATTCAGACACTAAGTCTGATTCAGTTTACAGGAGTGAAAAGCTTACATTGTGCCTGAGAAGGGGCTGGGCTTACATTGCACTCTGTTCATTTTTTCACTTTGTTTCCACTTCCATTTAATAGGGCTCTCTGACCAGGCAACCTCTGACTTCCGAGTAATGAAGGCTGTGGCCGAAGAAACGCGTCTCAGTCCTTTGGAGAGGCAGCAGCGTCTGGCCAGGCTTGCTGACAACATCCAGAGGTACTGGGAAGCCTTGCTGGGACCAGAGTGGACCCTGCCTAAGGCCTAGTTTATGGGATTGGAGATCTAGAAGTAGCTTCATTCCTTGATGAAAATGCCTCATTCCATTTGATTCAGAGCCAGCACTTCTGAATTGTGTTGTCCAAAGCCAGAGGTTCATCTAAGATTCCTCAGAGCTACAGGCTGAGAGGAGATGGTTGGAGGCCACACTGGCAGAAGTATCACCTGCTTCAACTAGATGGCTCTACTTTATTCATTCAGTACATTGAGATTCTAGATAAAATTCTAAATGAAGAGAAGGGCTGTAATTAAAAAACAAAAACAAAAGCATTACAGGCCTCCAACATTTGGTGTGAAAGAGGTTCAGATCTTAATGTATTGGTCTCAGCACATTGATCATTGAGAAACACCTACCATATAATTTTTAAATTTAGAAATGCCTTTGTGCCCCGTGGCCCAGCTCATCTGATTCTCACACTACGGTCTCGCCCTTATGACAGTTTGCTGTAACCTGTGTGGCACACTGAACTTCTCCCTGGTTCTCTCTGCTGGCCTGAAACTTTGCTGCCCAGTACTATATAGCCTCATGTAACTACTGGGTACTCAAATGTGGCTAGTGCCACATCTCAAAATGATCACATTTTGGATATATTGGGCTATATACAATATTAATTTTAAAAATAATTTCACCTGTCAATTTTTATTTTTTTAAATGTAGCTACTACAAAAATTAAAATTATATATGTGGTTTGCTTACTATTCCTACTGGACAGTATTATTGTAGAATAGTCTTTGTTCTTTAAAGAGGAAAACATTTGGAGGAGGAATTTGGAAATTTATATAACAAAAAGAAAGAAATGTATCTGTGTATATTCAGTAAATAGTTGTTTAATGAATGAATCATAGTTGAATGGTACCTGTTCTTTCAGGTATTTCCAAATGCATATAGTCATGTTCTTTTTAGGAAAATAGCATAGTACTGTACATCATGTTTGTAACCTGCTTTTTCCTGCATGTTTCCACATGATAAATGTGCATCTCTATTATCATGCTAGTAGTTTCATAGTTTTCCATTTTATGGCCATACTTCATGTCATTTATCCAGACATCTCCCAGATTTATACCTACTTAAGAGTTTCCTGGATCTCTCTCCTTACACCAGGCTGTAGATGAGTCCACCTGACACACCCACCTGCCGTCTTTCCCATCTTTCAGTAATCCCATCTACTTCAACCCAGTTTTCTGAGCAGTGATCACCTGGCCCATCTCATCTTGGGCAGATATAGTATCTGAAGCAGAACAATTTATTCAAAGTATTCAGTATAAGTGGACCAGACATAGTATTAATAGATGGAAATAATGAGCTGTTGCAGAGATTCAGTGGTTGAGAGTTTGAGCCCCTCAAGGAGAGAGGAGAAGCTTTGATAGGTAAATGAAAGCATGCATGTCATCCGGCTCCTTTGTGATTGTACTTACCATGTACTGGCTGCTATGACTGAGGCCAGGACACAAAGCCAGTACAGTTGCTCTCCTCCAGGAGCTTGTAGCTTGACAGAGACAACCATTCATCATAATCTGACGAGATAATACATCAAATATGATTAAAGTTTACTAAGTTATAAACTTAGAGATCTATACAAATGTAGTTATTATTGCTAACTCCAATATTCTCAGTCTTTCCTCTGCCATATCCATCCTGTGAACTTTCTGAAGCTTGAGTCCTTATGCTCCTTTCCTATAGCATTCTGCATCCACTCCCAAGCCAACAATTTCAGATATTCCCAGAAGACATTTCTACATCCAGCGTCTATACAATCTCTCTTCATTAACCAGTTTATGATCAGGAATAACATCTCATGTTTATTAGAATGTAACACATACCAGGCACTGTGATAGCTAATCCTTACATCAATGCTATGAAGCAGCTAGTTTTATTATGCCTGCATTTGGCCAATCAGGAAACCATAGCTTTAAAAGATTTCAGTTTGTTTTGCTCAAGGTCACATATTATTCAGTGTCAGCACCAGGAGTTAAACCCTAGCCTGTCTAGCAGTAAGGCTCATTTCCTAACCTGTGTGCCATCTTGGATGGAAGCATTTTCCATCCCTGTGTGTCCCAAATGGATGTTCTCATCCCGTAGTTCCTTTGAGCAGGGAAAAATGGTGCCTAGAAATAAAGCCAGGAATCAAAATAAATAAATAAATAAATCTCTGAATAATTCAGTTAAGTTATGATTCCATCTCAGATGATTGAAATTATTTTAAAGTAAGCACTCTAATCATTCAAAACTCATCTTTATCAACAGAAACAAGGATGCTCGCTTTGAGCTGGAGACCTGGGGGCTGCATTTTGGATGTCAGATGTGTCTGACTGGTCGGGTTGTGCCTTCAGAAAAAATACTAATGCAAGACCATGTAGTAAGTGCTGCAATTTTATTTTCCTTTAAAGTATTTGCTTGAATGTGTGTAAATGTGATCATATGCCAGAGTGACTCATGGGCTTGTAATACTCACTTGGTTACTCCGTGGCCATGTCCCTGCCCTCCCTTGGCCCTAAACCCCAAGGTCTCCTGTATTTTTCTTTCCAGTCGAGTGGACTTGCAAAGGCTCAGCAGAGCCCAGTGCACATGATTTAGGTCAGTCAGTGTGGGGTGGTGTCGCATTTAAAGATGCAATAGAAAATGGTATTTTAAGCCATTACAATTAACAATTGCCTATGTATTAGTGGGTATTGCAATACTTAAGTCACCAAAAAACAGACAAAAAACATAGTACCCAAGAAAATTCTAGTAACTGGTGAAGGTTAATTCCAGTAGATGTTTTCTGATACCAGAGTTCTTCATTTTTTTCCAAAGCAGAATGCTACTTAGATGGCATAAATATAAAGAAATCTGCATGGAAGCCATCCTCAGCCATGGCCTTTAGAAAGAGAAGCATTCGGAAGCTTGAACATATCATTGCCTTTTCCGGCCTTCAGCTGAACAACTGAACCTGATTTCATATGAAGATTGCGCATTATCTTTCTACTTTTCCCTTCTGTTTTGCCAGTCTTTAAAACCGGTTCACTTTCCGTTTCATTTTTAAAGGCGCTCTTCCTGTCTTTATTTGATGTAATAAACCAACATGTCTAAACGAATGTAACTAAGCCACAAATATTTTGTGTTGGCAGAATGGGGATTTTTTTTTCATCATTTCTTTTTAATAACCTATCTGAATTACCAGAACCCTTATTGGGGAAACTGAGGGAAAACTACTTTTATAAACAAAACAAAATTTTGTGAAATACTAAAATGTGGCCTGTTAGGAAATGGATCAGGAGTCAGTAAACAGAAGCACAATGTCAGGGCCGCATATGCAGCAGGATTTAAATACTCAGAATGATCTGTCTCATCATCTCTATAAGTAAAGTCCTCTTTGTCAGAGCTTTTTTTTGGCCTTTTTTTGGCCTGGAAACGGGTCCACCTAGAAAGGGCAGTCTGCTGGGTAGCCGTCCCCTGGAGGAGGTGGCGGATGGCTGGACGTGACTGTCACGGACTTCTTGGCCAATTCTGCTTTTCTGAAACTGGGCTCTTGGAACTGAGTAGACTGAAGGTTCCAGGCCTCTGCATGGGACTTGGGTGTTTGTCCTGGGCTCCTGCCAACCCCATAACAGGTAGGAGCATAGGTGACAGGGCCGTGGTTTTCCTCGTACTGGCTGTAATGGCAAGGAAGCAGCTTGGGAACAGATAGTACCAGGTAAGGAGAGCTAGCCTTTCCCTCTCACCCGCCAGGCTAAGGTCCCCTCCAGGAGTTGAGTGCCCACCTGGCTCCTAAAGGCAAGGCATTGTGAGGATGGCTGGTGGCTGAAGTCAGAGTGCCTGGTGGAACATTCAAAACCTGTCACTGCCACCAACTGGCTCCAGTAACCTCAGCCACAATGTTAGTGCCTGTAAAACAATGGGATGACAATTCTTCTTCAAAGTTAACATGCAGACGAGTCCCCTGGGGACTTACTAACATGCAGATTCTGAATCAGTGAGGCTGGGATGCAGCCCAGGACTCTGCATTTCGAATGAGCTCTCCGGAGATAGCCATGTTGATATACAAGACAACATTTTGAGTAGCGAGGTGTTGGTCTTTTTAAATTCTGCCAGTGGCTCTTCCCAGCTCACCACACCAAGGACATTTGCATTCAATTCCAGGCCTTGGATATAAGCAGAAGGCTAGTGACCAAGGCAGGGAGCTTGTTTTTCCTGTCACCTGGAGAATCTGAGAGAGGGAAAGGAGCTTGTGTCCTGGCTTCATCTTTACTCCTGGAAGTTGCTACTCCTAGCAACATGTATGTTCATAGCTGTCCTGTAGGCTTTGTTAATTTTAGTATGATTACCTGGAGTATCAATAATCAGCATTGTCTAGAGATCTCTTGATACCTCAAGAGACCAAATTGGACACCCAGCTTGCCTGGGCTATTTGTAAAGAGTACCAAATGATTTCACTCATCTGTGGAATATAAGAACAAAGAAAAAACTGAAGGAACAAAGCAGCAGCAGACTCACAGAACCCAAGAATGGGCTAACAGTTACTGAAGGAAAAGGGACTGGGGAGGGTGGTGGGGAAGGGAGGGGCAAGGGTATTAAGGGGCATTATGATTAGCATGTATAATGTTGCGGGGGGCGCACGGGGAAGGCAGTATAGCACAGAGGAGACAAATAGTGACTCTGTAGCATCTTACTATGCTGATGAACAGTGACTGTAATGGGGTATGTGGTGGGGACTTGATAATGGGGGGACTCTAGTAAACACAATGTTGCTCATGTAGTTGTATGTTAAGGATACCAAAAAAAAAATTAATAAAAATATAATGGTAATAGCTTGTTAGACTGGAAGGAATACTAGAAGATCTTTGAACCAGGCACCTTTCTCTGCACACAGAAGAGGCCATGAGGTAAAGGGATCTGAGACGGGAATTGGCTGGCCTGGGATGATGCTTGGATGCCTCTGCCCCAGGAAGCACAGGTGTTCTGTCCAGATGTGTTGTCCTTGTATCAGTGTTTTAAGTCCATGAGTAGCAAACGGTACTAAACAGTTCTCTCACAGCAAACGTGTGCCATCTTCCCATGGCCTGTATCTAATTGCTCTCTGAATAGATGTGTTCAACCCTTTCACGATCATTCTTTTTCTCAGTGTCAACCTATGTCTGCTGCTGACTGGTCCAAGGATATTCGAACTTGCAAGATTTTACATGCACAATCTTTGAATAAATGGTTGATTATATACAGTGACAGAGCTGAAAATGTGACCGAGAACTTTTTGAGCTGCTTAAGAAGAGTTGGAAGTTCCATGGGATTTAATGTGGACCACCCCAAAATGTGAGAATACACTGAAAATCATTATCCCGGCTTTTTTCATATTATAATTTGGTTTGGTTAGAAGATAGGAAATAATAGCTTATGTAGCTACATGAGCTTTGTGTCAGTAAAGTTTCCTAATATAAAGTGCCAAGAAAATAGTTGTAAGTAGAGAGATTTTGCAATGATTAAATTTTTATACAGTTAAATATATTTTATAATGGTCTTTGTAAAACTTTCTTTTCACAGTTCTTTAGGCAGATCTCATTGCCTCATAAATCTTTTTCAGTACTAGTTGGGGTTTTAATCCTTAATGAATCCATATATTGCCCTCTCAACTTTTTCCCCTTAATTCTTCTATATCATGTATTTATAAAACTGAAAAACAACCAAGATATTTTAAAAAGTTGCATTTCCTGACTTACTCGATAGATCTTATGCTTTAAAATTTAATGTAAAAACAGATCTGAAATAAGCTTTTCTGATTCTGTTACTGTAGCATAATAGTCACTTAGATACTTTTCTGAAAAACCAAGGTCTCACTCATTAGTCTTTGAACATTTATTATCTACTCCATGCTAGATACTATGCCAGTTGCTGGGGATGAGAAAGATAAATTATTTTCAATTTACTAAGGAATCCATACATACACAATGACACTCAAAATTCAATGTTGTTTTGCTTTAGAAAAGCCATAAAGCTGGTCCTGCCTCCTTTTATTGAGCTTTATGTACTTAGTAAGGAGTAAGAGGCGTTTCTTTTTCTCTGTTATAGTGGAGGTGCGGATGTCCTATCGGCAGGCTGGGAAGTTACTCTTTAAACACATGGTTACTAATTAATTACATCAGCAGTACAAGCATTGTTGGAAATCATAGATATTCTAAAGTCTCATTTTACACCATAGTTTAGAATTCTCCTCTTATCAAATCTGTTAACAAATCACCTGGTTTGAGTTTCACCTGCTCTAATTTCTCTTAATCCCTGACCTAGTAAAGCAAGAAAAGGTCAATGAAAGAAGTCACAGTCAGCAGACCCTCGGCTGGCCTCATAGGCTCTTTCTTTCTTGAATTCCACAAACCAGCCTGTGTCCATGTTCTGTTCTTGGCCTGTTTTGTTTGAAAGCCCATATTTTATTCCTTCCTTTTGCTTTCCCATGAAGTATCCATGTCCTCATCAGATTCATATTCATAGTTTCTCCCATCTGAAACATTTACCTGATGAGTTTCGAAGGAATGGACAGTTAAGACTCTGGTCAGGTCTGTGTGTAAGAGATGGAATTGGAAAATCTGGAAGTCTTGGTTGTTTTAACAGAGCTGCAGTCCATTCCTGCAGCTCATTTAGAATCAGCAAGCAAGAGACAGAATCCTGCCAACTGCTGAACAGGTTTTAAAAGGCCACTGGGCATTGGGACAGTCCAATCATATACACATATGAGGGGCTGATTTTGCATGAAGATACTAGACCTATAAATTCCTCTGTGTGGGAATTATTTCTGTAGCTTCTGGCCCCTAACATAATGGAAGCATAAAGCAGGTACTTGTTAACTACTTGCTGACTGATTGATTAAGGCTAAATATTCCAGGCTCCAAATGAGCTGCCACTAAGGAAAAGAAAATATTTTAGTTTGAGTCACGCAGATTAGCTGAATATCTTGGTTTCAATAACCTGATGATTTTTGACACTTTTATTTTAAGGTTCCCATTGGAGATTCTGTATTAGAGAAATTGTAATCCCAGTTTAACTTGAACCCTGTTTCAGAGGCTTGATATTGAGACTTGTGATTTCAAAAGTTCACTTTCAACCTCATTTTGAACCACAGAATTATCCGTTGTAGGGATCCTATACAGTTGAGAGGACTTCATTTTCCACTGAACTATTTTTTTAAGCTAATAAAAATGATTATCAAATGTTTCTGGCATATTTGGTAGTGGGAGAAATGATTTTAGACTCAAAAGATTTTCACTTTTCTGTAATGATTTTTTTCCTCAAATCACTACTCTTTTATAAAAATCCATTTGTATTTAACTTGATATGATTATATACCACTAAGAAGGGAATTATATATCTTCAAAATTGATCTTTTTATGTAGCATAAAAGCACAAGAAAATCCAGCTGCATTCCTTAACACTATACAGAAACATGTCTCTCCTGATATTCAGTTGGTAAGTAGAGGTGTTTTAATGTACAATTTTAATTTTTAAAAATATCTAACAGCCCTAAAAGAAGGCATCTGATCATATCCTCCTCCATAATGTGTACAAGTTGCTGTATATTTCCTCAAACTCTCAAGAAAGTATTAACCTTAATAATCTAATCAATGTTTTATTTCCCTTTTGTATTTCTAATGTTAATTTTTAAATACTTGCTTTAAATACTAATTTTTAAGTACAGCCTCTCGGATGTCTATGTATATGCTTGGATGCCTCTGCCCCAGGAAGCACAGGTGTTCTGTCCAGATGTGTTGTCCTTGTATCAGTGTTTTAAGTCCATGAGTAGCAAACGGTACTAAACAGTTCTCTCACAGCAAACGTGTGCCATCTTCCCATGGCCTGTATCTAATTGCTCTCTGAATAGATGTGTTCAACCCTTTCACGATCATTCTTTTTCTCAGTGTCAACCTATGTCTGCTGCTGACTGGTCCAAGGATATTCGAACTTGCAAGATTTTACATGCACAATCTTTGAATAAATGGTTGATTATATACAGTGACAGAGCTGAAAATGTGACCGAGAACTTTTTGAGCTGCTTAAGAAGAGTTGGAAGTTCCATGGGATTTAATGTGGACCACCCCAAAATGTGAGAATACACTGAAAATCATTATCCCGGCTTTTTTCATATTATAATTTGGTTTGGTTAGAAGATAGGAAATAATAGCTTATGTAGCTACATGAGCTTTGTGTCAGTAAAGTTTCCTAATATAAAGTGCCAAGAAAATAGTTGTAAGTAGAGAGATTTTGCAATGATTAAATTTTTATACAGTTAAATATATTTTATAATGGTCTTTGTAAAACTTTGTTTTCACAGTTCTTTAGGCAGATCTCATTGCCTCATAAATCTTTTTCAGTACTAGTTGGGGTTTTAATCCTTAATGAATCCATATATTGCCCTCTCAACTTTTTCCCCTTAATTCTTCTATATCATGTATTTATAAAACTGAAAAACAACCAAGATATTTTAAAAAGTTGCATTTCCTGACTTACTCGATAGATCTTATGCTTTAAAATTTAATGTAAAAACAGATCTGAAATAAGCTTTTCTGATTCTGTTACTGTAGCATAATAGTCACTTAGATACTTTTCTGAAAAACCAAGGTCTCACTCATTAGTCTTTGAACATTTATTATCTACTCCATGCTAGATACTATGCCAGTTGCTGGGGATGAGAAAGATAAATTATTTTCAATTTACTAAGGAATCCATACATACACAATGACACTCAAAATTCAATGTTGTTTTGCTTTAGAAAAGCCATAAAGCTGGTCATGCCTCCTTTTATTGAGCTTTATGTACTTAGTAAGGAGTAAGAGGCGTTTCTTTTTCTCTGTTACAGTGGAGGTGCAGGTGTCCTATCGGCAGGCTGGGAAGTTACTCTTTAAACACATGGTTACTAATTAATTACATCAGCAGTACAAGCATTGTTGGAAATCATAGATATTCTAAAGTCTCATTTTACACCATAGTTTAGAATTCTCCTCTTATCAAATCTGTTAACAAATCACCTGGTTTGAGTTTCACCTGCTCTAATTTCTCTTAATCCCTGACCTAGTAAAGCAAGAAAAGGTCAATGAAAGAAGTCACAGTCAGCAGACCCTCGGCTGGCCTCATAGGCTCTTTCTTTCTTGAATTCCACAAACCAGCCTGTGTCCATGTTCTGTTCTTGGCCTGTTTTGTTTGAAAGCCCATATTTTATTCCTTCCTTTTGCTTTCCCATGAAGTATCCATGTCCTCATCAGATTCATATTCATAGTTTCTCCCATCTGAAACATTTACCTGATGAGTTTCGAAGGAATGGACAGTTAAGACTCTGGTCAGGTCTGTGTGTAAGAGATGGAATTGGAAAATCTGGAAGTCTTGGTTGTTTTAACAGAGCTGCAGTCCATTCCTGCAGCTCATTTAGAATCAGCAAGCAAGAGACAGAATCCTGCCAACTGCTGAACAGGTTTTAAAAGGCCACTGGGCATTGGGACAGTCCAATCATATACACATATGAGGGGCTGATTTTGCATGAAGATACTAGACCTATAAATTCCTCTGTGTGGGAATTATTTCTGTAGCTTCTGGCCCCTAACATAATGGAAGCATAAAGCAGGTACTTGTTAACTACTTGCTGACTGATTGATTAAGGCTAAATATTCCAGGCTCCAAATGAGCTGCCACTAAGGAAAAGAAAATATTTTAGTTTGAGTCACGCAGATTAGCTGAATATCTTGGTTTCAATAACCTGATGATTTTTGACACTTTTATTTTAAGGTTCCCATTGGAGATTCTGTATTAGAGAAATTGTAATCCCAGTTTAACTTGAACCCTGTTTCAGAGGCTTGATATTGAGACTTGTGATTTCAAAAGTTCACTTTCAACCTCATTTTGAACCACAGAATTATCCGTTGTAGGGATCCTATACAGTTGAGAGGACTTCATTTTCCACTGAACTATTTTTTTAAGCTAATAAAAATGATTATCAAATGTTTCTGGCATATTTGGTAGTGGGAGAAATGATTTTAGACTCAAAAGATTTTCACTTTTCTGTAATGATTTTTTTCCTCAAATCACTACTCTTT